TTAACTAGATGACAAAAGAAATGGAGACATTTGGGGCTTAATGTTGGTGAGCTACTTTTACATGCCAGACACTAGAGAGTTCTTGTAGGCGTTCAGTCAGGGTTTCTGCCAAGTACATCCCTCCTGCAGTGGAGTGGCAGGGTCTTTCCAACCTATGACTCCTTATGCTTCTCTCCTGATGCTAATTTCTCTATTTTCTCTAGCTTGTGATAGAAATTAATTAGTTTATGTTGGGAAGCAATAAATTAACTTGAACTATGGATTAGATTGTAAACTATCTGTAGCATTTTGCACAGTGCCTGGCATAGAGTGGGCACTTAATAAATGATTATTGATTGATTATATGGGCATATAAATTTATCTCAATATGAGGAAATCTTTAATTTTCAGATAGAAGTTGCATCAGAGGAAGCAAAAACAGGTTATGGTGATAGCTCAGAAAATTAGATTAATTGGATTAAGTTCCATATGACAAATCAATTGCTTTGAGTTTTATTTTTCTCCTTTCTCCCTCAGCTCTTTTTCTAAAAAGAATTCATTTCTGTGTCTGCTTGTTATTATAGAAAATACTAAGTCCAAAAACCATAACAACTTCCTTTGCTTTTCCGTAATGTTTATGGCTTCTGTTCTCAAGGATTTGCCTACTTATAAGGTGGCAAAAACTACACTAGATTCAATCAAACAAATGTTGATTAAGCACTGACTTTGTGCTAAGGCTCTAAGGATTATTTTTAATCTAATGGAAAGGTGATTATTTTAACTTGCAGCTCCATTTGTCACAAAATTAGGAACACTTAAAAGTAAAGAAAATTATAATTATCTGTATAACTATGCTTTTAAGTTTAATAAACGCAACAAAATTTAATAGTCAAACTAAGTTATACACAAAACATTTTTATGCTCTTAAACTAGCAAAATAGCTTTAGATTTGTAATGAATGCTTTAAAAAAAGTATTATATATACTTCATTTTCCTTAACATTTCTTTTATGGCCTCATAATATCCAAAATTCTTATACCATAAGGGTTATCTCTGTCTTTTCACATCTGTTTTTAACAGATTCTACTACACTAGTTTAGTGAAAGTTTTCCCTTTAGACGAAAAGTCTGGGATAAATGACTAACTAGCCCTTTAAAAGTTGTATTAGTTTGTAGAGGAGGAATAGATGTCCCTGCCATCTCATCTGTACACATGGTTTGGGGGCAGCACAGTTCTTCTCCAACCTGGAAAATGTCCTACTCATTGTTCTTTTTGGCACTTTGCTGTTATAGATTGGAAAGCTGAAACTGATCTCTTCAAACTGTCAAAAGAAGAGAAAGATGCATCTGATCTGAACAGCTTAATATGCAAAGGCTGGTATGAGAGCTTAGCGGCCCTCTTCAGTGACAATTCCATTTAGGAAAGATAGCATCACACTTTTCTATCTGTTCTTCCCATCTGGGATATTTATTATAAGTCAAATTCTATTACAATTGACTTCAAAGACAGTAAACCCTTTAGAATTTCACTGAAGTGATAAAAAATTCTTTTGTGCATATTTTGTTATTTTTTATTATTTTTAATATTTTCATTTAAGTTTTTCCTGTCTATCCTGTTAGACTGTGTCTTAAGAGTAGGACTCATTTCTAATATTTCTTATATTGTATACTTGATATGATCCAATTGACCTGCCTTTAACTGCTTTTTATAGTATAAGCAAGTGAAGCACTTAATTGGGGATGGAATTGGGAAACAGTGTTAGGATCTATCCATGACTCTGACTCTGACATGCCTTTCCAAATAGGGGAGAGTCCAACTCATTGTTAATATCATCTTGTTTGAAAGAGGGCATTAAAATATAAGTATAGGAAAATGTTCAATCAGATCCAAATATTATATCTACCAAACTAGAGACTTTGTTCTGCCTTTCATCCTGCAAAATATTTCTCAATAATATTTGAGTTAATATTCCTTATATATCTTACCTTCCTGACAAATTCCTTAAGGTCTCTCTCTCTGTCTCTGTCTTTCTCTCTTTCTGTTCCCCCCCCCAAAGTATGGCAGTTATAATTGGCTTATTATTAAGGATGCAACCAACAGCAGAAAAAGCTGAGAAACAGTAGAAAATGACAATTGGTGTGTATGCTACAAAGGATTTTACTTACTTTTTTAAAAAGATTGTTTTCTTCATAAAATGGCAAGAATTCCTATTGTTTTCCTTTATCTACTCCTTAAGTCTTCCTATAAGTTTCTTAAGTCATAGATGAAGAATTCCAAATGTGACCTGTTTCAAACTCAAAATGAAAACAGTTCTGCAGTGCACTAACAGTGAAAAGCATTAGGTTCAGATTATAGAACCCCCAGAAGATCGACATGAAGATAGTGTTTTTTTTTTTACAATAGCGGATAATTTTTTCCCCTCAGAATCCTAAAGCCAAATGATAGGACCCGAAGGACTACTGTAAACCCACAGTCTATGCCCTCAAGTATTGGACTGTTAAAGTGCAATATCGTTTCATATTCTTTTGTGGTTCTTGGCTAGAGGATGTCATCTTGGCAGAAGATCAGATATTTACTCAAATTAATTGGACTTTTTGTGAAATTATCAAAAATTGAAACCCACTATTTCTGGACCAGCCTATTAGTTATCATTCGAACATAGCTTCTATTCTCCGTAGTGCCTACTTTGAGAGAGGACTTGGAGGTGTGCCAGACATATTATTAAAAGGAATTTGTGGCTCATTATTTCCACTAGATGGAGCTGTTTTCCCTAATCCTTTTTCGAAATATTCAATTTATAAAATAAATGCGATCCAATGCCACCTTAAACCACACGACATAATAGCAGCTCACAAGCTCCCATTAAAACCTCAATTTGGGGAAAATTGATTCCACCTCTTAGCAAATGCAATGCAATTATTCCAACACGCTACAATCAAGGATCACATCAAAGCATCCCCCAACTTTTGCCCAGTACCATAAGTACACCTGTTCTTCCCTATCCTCACCCTCTCCACTAACAGTGCTAACCTGGGAATTAGCAAATGAGGCGCTTGAGATGCACTGGCCCACGATAGTCAGATGCCTTCACAGGCATGCTCCCATAAGGCTATAGAACTTGTTAACAGTTTTGTGACAGCAAAGATTCTAGGTGATACCTTCGGCGACGACCAAAGTTCCCCCTTCCCAGCCAGGACAGGATGGAACCCTAGAAGACGGTTACCCAGATGAAACCACTGACAGCGTGCTGGATGGAATTTACCCAACACCGACCACCGCCCCCCTGCCCTAGGGCAAGCGACCTCTCGGGTATTTTTGTAGCTAAATGAATGGGCTTAATGCACGCAAGATTGAAAGTTTTGGGGCCAGCGACAGACCGGCCAATTGGGTTTTCCCGCGGGAGAGTCAGGCTCTAGGAGGTTTTCAAGGAGCGGACTGCTGCAAACGTGAGGTGTGCGGCAGCAGCCCCCAATGCAAAACCGGTAGTGCACGAGACAAGAAAAACAAGACAGAAGCACACACGAACACACATGCACACACATATCACGGAGCAGAAGTCGAGAGAAGAACCAGTCCACCAGTATAAGCAGAACAGCTATGCCCAGGGTCTATTCCAATCGCGACCGACTGCAAAAAAGGAATTCTTTTTTTGGGGGGTGGGGAGGAGAATTCTGCCCCACAAAAACTTTAATGACAAGAACTGAAAAGCTAACTAGAGAAATAAAACAAATCAAGGAAAACTAAAAAAGCAAAAGCAAAACCAAAACCGAGTTGCATGGGGTGCCTGGGCTGGAGGAAAAAAGAACACAACCCACAACCTTAGTGTGGAATAAATACACTACAGTCGGGGATGTCAGCAAACTCGGAGGGAGGTGAGGACGAGTCCTATCTCTCCAAGGTGACCTGGTTCTGGGAGGGTCGGGACAGAGTGAGGAAGAACGAGTTCCCTCCTCCCCCATTCACCCCACTCTCTTCCTGCCTCACCCTCTACAATTCCCGATTCTGGGCTCTTACCTTAACGGCTGCATGGGCCCCTCCGGCCCACGGGGGGTGGTGGTGAGGAGGGGGTAAAAGGGGACCGATCCTTTGACCCGAAGGGATTGAGGGAGGGTCGGCCACCTCGGGGCGTAGTCCCCTCCACTCTTCCTCTTCCCACTAAATTCTCTACGGCTGGGCTGGGAGCTCGACCCCTCCCTCCCTCCCCGACCCCCAGCCCAACCGCCCCCTGGTTCAGCTGCAGTTAGGGGAGTCCTGCATCCTTCCCAGCTGCATGTCTACGAGAGACTGGAGGAGGCAGGGACAGGGTGTGAAAGGAAAGTGATTTTTCCCCCCAGAACTGATCAGCCCAGTCTGCAAGAGATAACTAGATAGACTGGCAGGCAGGGCGAGCCCCCTCCCTCCGCTAACCCTCCACGTGCTGGTGTGAGAAGGTTCGTTAATATGCAAAAGAAGAAAGGGGTGGGGTGGGGTGGGGGCGGGAGAATAAGGAGTAGCTGCCCAGCTCTGGTCTGCCGAGAAAGGAGAGGAAGTAAAGGGGGGGGTCCCAGTGGGTGTAAATCCCCCCCCTCCTATCTTCAGCCACCCTCCCACACTGAAACACGGACCTAAGGAAGGAAGAGACACTTTAAGAAAAAGTGGGAAGAGGAGGTGAAGGGAGAGGGAAAGAGTGAAGGAAAAATGGGGGAAGGGTCTCAAAGCCCCTGAAGCAAATGCGCACTGGTTAGATCTGGGAGAGCGAGGGAAGCTCAGACAGATGCTCTGCCTCTGCCCGGCCCGCCTTAGCGGAGAGGCTCCTACAAGTTTTTGACTCTCCCATGGAAATATCAAGGATTCCCACCCAGTTTTCCACCCTCGGCCCAAAGTTGCTGTGCGTATCTCTTTAAAGCCTAAGGTGCATTTCCCCCGAAAATAGTAAGGTCGGAGGATCTTAAACCTCACTGAATTAGAGACGATATTGTTGTTCCAGTGTTACTTCCATACAGGGCAGGGGAAGCTTTTGTCTTAAAACAAAACAAAACAAAACAAAACAAACAGGTTTATTCCGTGTACAGTATGTGTCTACTCTGTGCTGACAATGCTGAGGATGGCTGACACCCTACCACAGCTTTTAAACACTTCTGTGGTGGGGAGAAGGCAAGAAGAAAACATCTGAAAGTTAACTACAGCCTGAGAAGAAAAAAGGGTATTTTTCCTCGTTTCCTTTATTTAGGGAAGTGAGAATAGAAGCATGCCAGCCAGTCACTGTGTCCTCAGAGGACAAGAGAATTCGATGCAGCTAATGAAAACTCCAGTTAACCCTGTGAATGGTCCTTCTTCTTCAGTTTCTTCTCAAATTTATACAAACAGCGAAACCTAAGGACTGCACAATCAATACTTGCAGATCTGAAAAAAATGAAGGTGTATTAATTTCAGATCTGAAAATCAGACTTGTGGGTTAAGTCTTCTTGTTGTTGATCCAGACCTGTAATTTCATCAATGTAGGAGAACTTCCAGTATGGGAACTCCTTCCACCAATGCAGCAATTACTATTATTACTACCACCACAACCACCACCACCACTACTGCTAAACAACTAGCATTTAAATAGATCTTTAAGGTGTGCAAAGCTCCACTACTTGTGATTTAATTTGGTCTTCACAATAGTCCTGTGAATTAGGTGCTATTATTATCTCCATTTTATAAATAAATAAACTGAGGCAGAGAGAGGTTAAGTGATTTGGCAGCTTGTAAGTGTCAGGTATGAGATTTGAACTCAGGTCTATCCTGATTCAAAGTACCACAAGGACGGAGAAAATTCATTCATAATTTATATTCTTAGAGAGCTGCTTGAGATATTGGGAGTTAAATGCCTTACCCAATGTCTTGTCAGTAGGTCTTCCTGATTCCAAGTCCAACTCTCTCTCCCTTAAGCCAGATTGTTTCTCTGAATTAACATGTAACATCAAATTGCTTCTGTTCATTTTGCATATGGTTTGTAGCTTTCTCTTTTCTTGGAAAATTAATTTTAATAAAATAAAGCTGTAAATATTCATATAAAACATAAAAATATATAGTTTTAAAGTAGCATTTAAATATATAAATTGAAGTATGATTATAGTTTGATAAATGTGGTTTTAACTCAAAATCATGGGTTCCTCTTGGTTATGCATCTTATTAGCAATTTATTTAAGATAGATGTCCTCGTGAAATTAATAGCACCGGAATCCAAAGAGCTGAGTTAAAGTTCTGTGATTTGTTTGTGTTAAGTGTCACAGGTATAGCAGCCAACTACTTTCTGAATTGTTGTAAAAACATGAGAGCTTGTTCGAGCTTCCTTTTTGACAAAATTTCCTCAGAGCATTCAGTATTACCAGGCTCTATACATGGAAGTCATTTCATTATAAAATGAAACCACTGAAAAATTCCTAGGAGGACCTTCACCTGTATTGTTTTATATTTTAAGGGGAGGTGGGGAACGGAAAGTCCTGAAGCCTTTGAGGCAAACAGACCATAATGTACACAATCACCTTGCTGTGGGCAGGCATTTACCAGAGCTATCTTTGCAAAGTGTTCTTTTGGTTTGCTTTTTGATTTCCATTGTTTCATTTTTAGTGCAGAAGACAAAAATTCTAATGTCACTCATAAACTATTTCATTAAGTTTGCATTATATATCTGGAATGCATACATAGATAGGGTTTGGTTTGGAACTGTGATTGGATCTGCTAGGGAGCTCCCATGTAAGGAAAGTCCTTTCACCTTTGCAGATCCTCTGTAACTTACAGTTTGGTAGAGTTGGCTGGAGATTAAGTAACTTGTCCAGGCCATATGTGTCAGAGCCACACTTTTAGATGGAAGTTAACAAGTGGTTAGGCATTAATAGCTGACAACAAGACAGAATAGAGTATAAAAATGTCATAGGATCATATAGGATCCTAGATTTAGAGCTTAAAAAGGACTTCAGAGACCATCTTCATTATACCTGTGTGACCCTGAGTAAGTCACTTAACTTCCCTGGACCTCAGTTTCTTCATCTATAAAATGAGGGATGGATTGGATTGGACAATTTATACCTGTAGTATATTTTCTACTCTGTTCTTAAATGCCTATGAATTACTGGGTTAGAAGTGGGGTATTAACCAGGGAGGTTAAGTAACTTGTCCAAAGTTACTCCATAAGGGAAAAATAAATGTATTTGTTTATTTCCCATACTCCTGAATTCTTTAAGCATATTAACAAGCTAAACTTGGTTCAATTGTTATAAGGGAAGCCAATTAAGAAATGACTCCACTAGTAGGTTGGTAATCGTCAGGCCTGGCTTGGACTTCATCAAAAGGTTGACTTCTCCTTAGGTTTTAGTGGCACATGCAAGAGGAAACTATTGGGGGCCCTGGAGGGGGCCACTTTTCCTTATCTCCACATAAGCTCCCCGTCTCTACACTCCAGGTTCTACTGAATCAGTACTGGGGAGTTGGGGTGCAGTTCCTGCCCTTCACTCAGCTGCAGATGTACTGAGAACAAGACGTGGGCGGGGGTGGCCAAGCCCTGGAGCAATGGAGTTGGCCTGATTGCTTCTCAGGCATTGCATCTGATCATAGACCTCTGAAGCAATTTCATCAGCCTCTGTACAAGGTCCGAGGGCTTCTCTTCTTTCTGGGAGTTAGACAGGAACTTCAAAGAGGGAATTGAGGTCTCCTAATACTGACAAACTGGTCTTCAAACATCTACGACAATTTGAGCACGTGACTTCTGGAACTGCACCTTCAAGCATACCCATAAGGTCAAGAGCAGGCCCCTGAGGCTGTCTAAAGATCTGGTGCTCTTCCATGCATTAGTGCCTCATTGACCTTTGATCTTTGCTAGTTAGGTAGCAACCCCACTCCCCTTGCACAGTGCTGCTTGAATGAAGACCCCTCCCATAGACTGAACCTATGTTGGCTTTTGCCAGTGGGCTATTGCTCGAAGAGGAGGGCGTTGGTGCCGGATAATTGACTGCTGGAGAGGATGAGAAAACTGATCATTGGCTGCTGGGGAGAATACTGTGCTCCACCTTCGCTCCTAGCAGGCGTTTTATACCATCCTCAACCCCTTAACCTTAATCCTTAACCGAGAGGATTTTAAACTTGCTCACAACTTCTTCTCATCCATGGGAAGTTTATTAGCTAATTTGCAAGTTTCAACTTTGTCATTTATGTCTTTGGGGATCTGGGAATGCCCCAGTACCAGGAAGTTCACAAAGCACAGTAAACTTCTTGCGTGTTTTGCCAGTTACTTTATACCTCCCCCAGCTCTAAGAGCCTGTGGTCTGATGAAACATTTCTTTAATATCTGCATAGACACAGTCTGGGGCATACCACATGAGAACCTAGTCCCACCACTTAGTATCATTTCTTCAATACTTAAGCAATGTTGGCACCTGTTCACCCTAGCACAAAAAGCAAACGTGATTTGATTCAGTTATACAAGAGTTATATTCATTGGGATTATATAGGATCAACCCTATTTTACATATAAGAAAATTAGCTTGGTTGATTAAGTGACTTGCCTAGGGTCATACAGCTAATAAATATCCAAGACAGGATTTGAATATAGGTGCTGGTGACTCTTTATCCTTCTCTTGATTGATGGGTGCCACCATGCCTGCGATTAGGAAGATTTCTACTAACTGCTTCTAAAACAAGCCACTTAGACCCACACGTTAAAAAAAAAAAATTCACTTTCGACTACTAGCATGGTATACTGACCTGGGCTCACATCCCTTCTCTGTGTGATCCTGGGTAAGTCACTTAACTTTTCTAGACCTCAGTTTCCTCATGTATAAAATGAGGGGGATTGGATTAGAGTGGACAATTTATATTTGTTACTATGTAGCATATTTTCTGCTCCATTATGAAATGACAGAATTTCTGGGTAAAAAGTGTGGTATCTTAGAAATAAGTGTAAAATCAGTCATGATGAGCCCCCACCACATTCTGAAATTGGGGACTTCCAAAGTAGATTCGGGTGTAGATATTCAATTATGACTATGCTAACAGTGACAAAACCTAAACAAATTACAGCGTAAAAAACATTAAAAATCACTACATTGAAACAGAAGAAGAAATGAAACAAACATTAAAAACAATCTTAGGGTCTCTTTCTTGCTTCCTTTCTCCTCACCAAAGTCCAGAAAGGAAAGCCCCCCTATATTTAGGTTCCTATCGGTAAACTGGATGAAAGAGTATAATGCCTTTGCTATTCTGCTAGCTAAACTCCTTGTTTTTTCCACTGACACCTTGCATATTCCATGAGTACTAAGCTGTGGTTTTAGTTAGCTCTGTGAATTGGGAGCCCTTGCCTTCCTTCCTGTGTGGCCTCTCATTTCTTTTCTCCCCCATCTGTTCAAATAGAAAATATTCTGTGGCCAGCATTGCTGTATCCTTGAGGGAAATCCAAGTTTCATCTCCTTGCCATCAGCCCCAAGTTAGGTAGAACGATGGATACAGCGCTCACTTGGAGTGAAGAGGACTTGAGCTGCTGAACTCTGGCCTTAGACACTAACTGTATGACTCTGGGCAAGTCATTTGTCCTCTGTCTGCCTCAGTTTCCCTATTTTTAAAATGGGAATAATAATAGTACCTACCTCCTAGGGCTGTTGTGAGGATAAAATGGATATATGTAATGTGCTTTGTAAATCTTAAACCTATAAATATTTAACTATTATTACCAGCTATTATATCTCATGGGAAATTTGATTCCTGGTATGCCAAGTGCTTCCTTTTCATGTGGCATACCAAGAGGTCCTACTCATCTGATTCCTGTTAACTACAGAAAAATGAATGCCAAATACAGAAATTAGTAACATTTGCTTCTAACATGTCAGAAGTTGCCAGAGGACACTGAAAAAATGTGGTCTACTATTTTTGAGTGAAGATAGACTAGATTTATGTTGACTTACCATTCTTGTCAAGGTCCTATTTTATTTTATTTTGGGGGGGTGGAGTTCTGTTCCATTGTATTCTACAACTAATGTGTCTTAAAAATTTTTACTGACTCCTAAGGGGGTAAGAAAATAAGCACTTATTAAGTGCCTATTATGTGCCAAACACTGTGCTAAGTGCTTTAGCTATTATTACCCCCCCCCCATTTTACAGTTGAGGAAACTGAGGCAGACTGAAGATAAATGACTTGTCCAAAGTCATACAGCTAAGAAGTATCTGAGGCTGGATTTGAACTCAGGTCTTTCTGATTCCCAGTCTAGCCACTCTATACATTTTGGCACCTAGCTGCTCATTATATCGAGCACCAAGAAAGCCCCATGCTATGGTGCTGGGAAAGAAAATTGACCATTTGTTGTCCCAGGTCTATGCATTACTACATGATTTCCAGATTTGTGGTGCTTGCTTCATTACAGTGCCAGCTTAGAAAATGGATTCCTCATGAAATATTGATTACAGATTATAACCTAATTCCTTACTCTAAAAATAGGGTATAGAGTATATTTACTGGGGGGAAGGGCATGCTGACTCCAGATGTAATAATAATAATAATAATAATAATAACAATAATGATAATAATGGTAAACATTTATAGTGTTTTAAAGTTTAAAATATACTATATATATGGTTTCTCCTTTGAGCCTCATACAAACCCTTGGAGGCAGGCACTGTGGGTATCATTAAACCCATTTTAAAGCTGAAGAAATTGAGGTTTAGAAAGGTTAGGGGAGTTGCTTATTGTCCCATAGCTTGTAAATGTCTGAGGCAGGATCTGAATACAGGTCTTTCTGATTCCAAATCCAGCATAGTCTGTCCATTACAGCCATATTGTCTCTGACTCTAGCCTAGTTCTTAGGGGATGCCACTAAAGAAAAAAAAAGTCACAGTTTAAAAAAATTCTTCTCTCCATATTTATTACAGGTACAATTGAACTAAAGTGGATGATGGTAGCCTCAAAAAAGTCCGGGAGCCTGAGGGATATGTGGAGAACATGAGAAGTAGAGTCTCATCTTGTAAGGGTAGGATTAGCAGATTTTGGTAAGCACACGAACCTCAGGCTTTTTTCTTTCTTTTTTTTAGTACCAATTGAGAAATGATATCTCCTCTTCCCAACTTGCTTCACTAAATTATAGCTTAGAAAACTGGATACAGGAAGGTGGGGCCCTCAAATTCTGGGCCAGGACAATTCCTCCATTCACTAGAGTATGGTCTGAATATGTATTCCTAGACAAAAACAAGCAAATGAACTAACAAATGATGTCCGTTGCTCATGGCAAGGCAAGAAAATATAGCTAATTAATTTTAATTAATTATATTTTTCTTTAGCCTTATATCCCCAAACTAGTCTTTTTATTAAATAATATAAACTATAAATCAAAACAGAAACCCTTAAACTGTAGACTAAAGTGTATGACATTTAAAAAGACACGTTTAGCTAATGAATGAATGATTTCCTTCCTCATGAATGTTTCAACCTCAACAAACACTTATTAGTTCTTATCATGTATAACGTGTTGTATTAGGTGTTCAGGACCCAAAGATAGATGTGACAGGCCCTGCTTTCAAATAGCTTAAATTAAATCAAATAGGGGGAAGGGGCAGGAAATAAGTACACAAATAACAGTGAGAAATAAAAGTTAGAAAGAGAGGTCCAGGTAAAGGGCGATAAAAAATTTAGAGCAGAAAGAGCAATCAGTTTCATCTGGAAGAGGGCCAAGAGTATGGTGGGGCATCAGAGAAAGCCTTGAGGAAGTGAATTTGAGTCAGAACTTGACAGAAGAAAGGGACATCAGCAGATGGAGAGAGGCAAACATTCATTCAATGCTTTGGAGATGCTATGAACTCAGATGAGAGAGACCAAGTAGAAAACAAAACAAAGCAAAACAGGGGAGAGCCTGTCTGGAACTCTGCAAAGGGGTCTAATATGAGATATGGCCAGACAGGTAGGTTAGAATGATTAACGGAGGGCCTTGAATGCCAGCGTGAAGTTTATGTTTTATTTGGTAGGCAATAAATTAATACATACATACACATATGTACCTGTGTAGGTGTATGTATTTATATATTATATATACACACACATATACACATGTATATATATAGATACACACACACATACACACATGTGTGTATATATATATATATATACACACACACATACACACACACATACACACACATACACACACAAGAGGGCCTAGAACAGAATTTTGGGGAACCCTTATGATTAAGGTGTCAGCAGGGGATGGGAAGAGAGAAAAGGAGACAGAGAAGGAGTGGTCTAGAAAGCTGGAAGAGAATCATGAGAGTTGTGTCATGGAAGCCAAGTTAGGAGAAGACATAAGAAGGAGGGGTGTTTCATGGTGTCAAATGCCAAATGGGTAAATGAGGATGAGGACAGAAGTGAGGACAACGGAGCCTAGAGGGCAGAGGATAAGAACAACAAAGCATAGTTGGGGCAGAAAGAAACATTGAGTTTTCTCTGTAAGGCATGGAATCATACAGATTGTTGGCTGCCCTAAGCTGTGAGAATACTTTGAGGATTTGAACAACCACAGATGTAGGAGAACAGATGGGATGTGGTAAGAGTACAGATCCACAGGCCCGCACAACATTACCCACAGGAACCCTCTCCTTTACAATTTAGAAACCTTTGGGGCTAGCTGGTACCAAACCCTGCCTAATGGTGACTGGAAGAGAAATAGAACCTTGCTCGGAGCTCTGCCCTCATAAAGTGATCCACAATGTAGGACCATATCCAGATGTTCCTGACCATGTGTTGAAATTATTTTTCTCTACTATTGTATTTCTTTAACACTTTAACTCCTAGCTTTGACTCTGTGGAGCTAACCTGTGGCACTGTTCATGCAAACTCCTTGCCACTGGACCTGCCAAATGTAGGCCTGAGTAGCAATATTCCTCCAATGCAACCTAATATTAACTGACATACTCATTAATTGTTTTTCTGGGGCTTTCTGCTTAACACTAGCCGGCACTAAAAGCACTAGGGTGGACATCTCTGAGTTCATCCTAGGTGGCAGATTAGAGCAAGAAGTGGACCTGGAGGCATCTGCTCTAGGTCACAGCTTGTTACTGGGTCCTTTCTGGATTTGAGACAGAAAATTCTAAGCTCTAGAACCCTTGATGGGGCTAACTTTTTCCTCACTGAGAGATCCATATGGTATATGCTGGTAAATGTTTAACAACTGGCTGTCTTACAAAAAAAAAAGCATAATACACTTTCAAGTTTAATCTGTATTATTAATATTTTTCCATCACTTTGCTAAATCAAGATAATCAACAAAGCAATACATCAAGCCCAGATTTTTAGTGTTTATCTATTTCTGAGGTATGTATATCATACTGAAAATTAGCAGGCTTTTGGATGCACAACATACCTGGCTTGAACATCTCAGGGTTCCCCAAGATGATAATGGCACCTCTGTGAGGGACCCAGCTGCTCATTCTCCTGTTTTCTCAGACTGGAAGCTGACGTGAAGATGTTCCAGAGAGGACCACCCTAGAACAGGCATGGGATTCCCAGGTCTGGTCAAGTCCTGACAAGAATCCCTGATCAAATATTCGATTGGTCCTGTAGCAGGGATTCTTTTTCGTACCATGGACCCCTTCTCAGAAAACTTTAACATACACAAAATAAATACATTGGATTTAAAAGGAAACCATTTATACTGAAATACAGTTATCAAAACATTTTTGAAAACACAAGGTCACCTTACCCAGGTGTAGAACCTCCATGCTAGATGCTCCTGGGCCTTACATACAACCAAACTTCACACCCAGGGCGTAGACCTACCCTTTACTGAAAGAATGATTAGCTTCCAATGGCATTTTGAAAAAATACAATGGGAGGGTTCATCCAGTTAAAGGAATCTTAAATTCCTGAGTTCTTATTTCCTAGCCAGGGGAGCTATGACTCAAAACTCCTGGGGCTTTTTTGTAAAGTCAGCCTAGCCACCTTCCACCCTTAATTTGCCAGCCACAAGGGTGAGAGTTACCTTCATCCTTGCACATACTAGTCATGTTCTGAGCTGTGTTTTGTGATTCTCCCCCACACCCACCTTTCAGGCAGTTCTTGCTGCTCATTTTCAACTGATTTTACTGGAATAAAAATGTTGGGGTGGAGAGGTGGGGGACAATTTGAGGGGCTTTAGACCCCTCACCCAAGGAGGCCCTGAGCCCTGAGCTTCTCTAGGGTTGGCCCTGGACAAAGAACAAGAGAAATAATTGAGGAGAGATGAGAATCCTTATTCTTGAACTGACCATCTTGTCAGGTGTGGAAAAAAAAATACATGGTATTTATGGTGTTTCATAGTAACCCATCAACTAAAAAGAAAAAAAAAGTTAGGTATAACTTGATATAAGGAGCTTCTCTCCAGTCTCCCACCAACTCTCAATTCTAGGTTCAGAGGTACTCTGTGTCCCCCCCCCCCCCCCCCCCCCCCCCGTTTGGGGTGGGGGGGGCCGGTGCTCCCCCCCCCCCCCCCCAGGCTGTGAGTTTGTAGGTAGCCTGGGGCTGTTTCTGAGTCAGAAAAGTTTTAAAAACCAGAGTTCTAGAGAAATGAGAGCAGGGTAAAGCTAAGATTCCCTATTGCTTTACCTCATGTCAGTTGTCATTTGCTGACATTTAGGGTTTCCCTTCTCTGCTGAAGCAGCAGCCTTTGACAATTAAAGCAGCAGTATTGCCTGGACATGATTTTTGTCCTCATGCCTGTCTTGGGCTCAGTGTGGGTTTTGCTTTTCCAGTCCCTTGAGATTGCATCCATTTGTGCCAGAAGTAGTAGTGCCACAATACTGATCTCTCAGTGTTACTAGTGACCCGGCCATCTACCGACAACATCTTCCATGGCCACTCAAGGGGAAATTAAGTAACCCATCCTGCTGTGTTTGGAACAGTCTGATGTAGGTAATTTCAATATTTTACTAGTCTGTAGAATGGTTTAAATTTTGAAACACTAATGTAGTTGAACTCTTACATGTTGTAAGAGAAGGAAACTGAGACCCAATATCACAAGCTAGTTAGAAGACCATTGTAATAGCTCAGGCTGAGGTGATTAAGAGTCTGAGCTAGGGTTAGTAGGTGGCTGAATTCAAGCGGTAACAAAGAAAGCGCTAACTAGTACAGGGGTGGGGAACCTGTGGCCTCGAGGCCACATATGGCCCTCTAGCTCCTCAAGTTCAGCCCTTCGACTGAATCCAAACTTCACAGAACTTCACAGAACCAATCCCCATTTTGAACAAATCCATTTGAAAGCTTAGTGTGATTTTGGAATGTAGGATTGATTGGGTTGGGGAGAGGGAAAAAATGGGTACAGGGAGACAAGGTAGGAGACTACTGTTGCAATAGTATAGGCATGAGGTGATTGAAGACCTGGACTAAGGTTGGTGGCAGAATGAGTGGAAAAGGATAGCTTCAACATGTTACAGAGAAAGAACCAATAGACCTTCAATTTTACAAATACTTATTTTATTTTAGGATCTGATTCATCTTTTATTTTTATTTATTTTATCTTATTTTTATGATATTTTTCATCTTTATATCACTTTCATTTCTAATTACATCCAGTGATCTGTCCCTTGAAAAAAGGGAAAAAAATCAGTTCAGCAAAATAGTAATAGCTGACATTTATATAGTGCTTTATGGTTTAAAGAGCACTTTATACGTATTATCTAATTTCATCCACAACAATCCTATAAGGTAGATATAATTATTATTTTCACCATTTTACAGGTAAAGAAACTGATGCTAAAAAAGCTTAAATGATTCATCCAGTGTCATATAACTGGTAAGTTTCTGTGTCAGGATTGAAACACAGGTCTTCCTGACTCTAGGAGCAGTGGTCTATCTACTATACTGCCACTTGCTTCTAAAACCACTCAACATTATTAATCATGTTTGAGATATAGTATGTGCAATATTCCATATCCATATCTCTCATATCTGTAGAAAGGGGAAGAAAGTACATTTTCTCTACTTTTCTCCAAGAACAAATGTGCTCATTATAATTAAACAGTTTCTCAACAGTCATTGATTAAGAATCCTTTCTTTGAAAAGGCATGGTGAGGGGCAGCTAGGTGGCCAGTGCAGGAGGACCTGAGTTCAAATCTGGCCTCAGACCAAACACTTGACACATACTAGCTGTGTGACCTTGGGCAAGTCACTTAACCCCAATTGCCTCACTTTAAGAAAAAAAAAAGCATGTTGATACCGATAATACAAAAATGAAAGAAGATACAGTTTTTGTCCTCAAGGAGCTTATAAGCTAGAAGAGAATGAAATTTTTATACAAACTCAATATAAACTTATATAACTCAAGTTGCAAATGATCAAGTGCATATAAAGAGTAATTTGAAGGATTCCAGCAAAAGAGAGGTTATTTCTAGCTGAGGAAATCAGGGATAGTATCATGGAGCGCATAGCATCTGAGCTGACTTGAAGGAAAAGGATTTTGTCAGTTGGCATGTGTCAGGGACCAGGTGCATAAATATATCAAAGGTGTGGTGATGGGAAGGGACAGAGTGAAATCATAATACCTTTGCTTCTATACTCCTATGCTATGGAGTACTAAATGCTCCAGTTTTTGTGTAGCACAGAGTACATGAAGGAAAGTGCTATGGAATAATCCTGGAAAGGTAGATTGTAGCCACAACACAAGGAACCTTGAATATCAGACAAAAGGGTTTATAAAGTGCATTTTTGGTGGTGAAGAGCCACTGAAAATTATTGAGTAGGCAAATGATGTGACTGGATCTCTGCAATCAGAAGATTACTTTGCAGTGGCATAAAGGTTGGGCTGGAAAAAGGAAAAGCACTCAGGAGACTGTTAAGAGTAACCTAGATAAGAGGTGATAATGGCCTGAGCTAAGGTGATATCACTGTAAATGAAAGTAAGGGACAGATAGAAGATATGTATCATCTATCAGACCTGGCATCTATTGTACTAATGATATGTGAAGGGAGGTAGAGGTGTTAGGAATGACTTGAAGATTTTGAGCTTGGGTGATTGGGAGAATAGAGGTACCATCAACAGGTATGGGAAAAGTAGGGAGAGGGGCAGAGGTAGGAGGGAAGATGATGAATTTGGGACATTTTCATTTTTGTCTTTATGTGTTGTGTGTTGCTGTGTGCTTGGCATGATGTGTGGCACAGAGTAGGCACTTAATAAATATTTGTTGCAATTAATTGCATTGAATCAAATGCTGTTTGATATATTGGCAAGATATCCGGGTAGAGTTCCCTAAGAGGCAATTGGAGATATAAGGGGGAAAGGGGGCTAGAGATAGATTTGGGAGTTACATACATAAAGGTGATACTTGAAACTATAGAAATATATGAGACTGTTAAGAGAGAAGGAGAAGGGGGAGGAGAGGGGAAGAAAAGATAGCTGAGGTATATATTTTGTAGGGCTTCGCTCAAGACTCTGGCTTCCTCCAAAACAGGAAATCAGTGGTTAGAAAAGGAGTGGTTTAAGAAGTAGAGAGGGTGATGGTCAATGGGTCCTTTAGAGCAAGGATGATGAGGACTGAGAAGAAACCATACATTTATTAATTGTGAAGTCATTGGTGACTTTGGAAGGAGAATTTTCCATAGATTAGGCAGGATGGAAGTCATACTGCAAGAGGTTGAGGAAGGAGTGGGCAGTATGGAAGCAGAGGTAGTGAGAGTGGAATACTCTTCTAGATTAGCGGTGAAATCAATCGGTTAATAAGTATCTATTATGAACTTACTAAGTACCAGGGAATAGATAGGAGAAGGGATGACAACTTCAGGGGAGAAGAGGTTCAAGTGTTGGTGAAGTGACTAACTGTAGGGTCTAGACTGTCAATGTGATTTGTGAAGACAGAACAGAACTGACTTATGGGGGAAGTTGAGGGTCTGTAGATTATAAGAATAAAAAGCTATGTCATTAGGTGTGAAGTGTGGGAAAATTGAAAGGGTAAGACAAAGAGAAGATAATTTCAAAGTTCAAGATTTGGAGTTTGAATAATTTCAAGGTATGATGAGAATATGTGATATTAGGGAAAATATATGATAGGTCGTGTGATATAGATTAAAGATATTGTACTTGGATTTTGAAAGACCTCGGTTTAAATCTTACCCCTGGAATTTACTGTGTGACCATGATTGAATCATTTAATCTCTCTAAACCTCAGTTTCTTTATGTGTAAAATGGGATTACTAATACTTTCAGTGCTTACCTCAAAGGATTGTTGTGAGGCTTAAATAAAATTATATATATATATGTATACACACACATACACATATACATATACATACATATACACACATATATACATACACACACACACACACACACACACATATATACACATTTGGCTAATTCTAAAGTCCTAATACCTCAGTGTTAGGTATTATTACTCTAGGGTATGGAGAACATTCCCACGGGTAGCAGAAATAGATTGAGTATGGATGTTACAGGAAATGAAGAGGTTATGAAATTGAGACCCACAATGGATAGCAGGGTCATCAACATGAATAATGAAGTTGACAAGGATGATAGCTATAGGACTGGGAGGAGAGGAATTTCGTGCTAAAGTCACTGAGAAAGTTGGGAGAGTATTCTGGGAGAATATTCACCAAAGCAAATAGCAGCTACAAGAATAAGGAGGTATAATCAGATGGCCAGAACTGGAATGAGATCTTTCATTTTACAGATGAAGAGATAGAGGACCTGGGAGGTTAAGTAATTTATCCAGAGTGTGTCTAGGGGTAAGCATCAGTGGAGAGCAAAGAGTATGTTATCCCTTCTCCGGACTCCT